CTCTCTCTCTCTCTCTCTCTCTCTCTCTCTCTCTCTCTCTCTCTCTCTCTCTCTCTCTCTCTCTCTCTCTCTCTCTCTCTCTCTCTCTCTCTCTCCCTCCCTCTCTCCCTGTCTCTGAGTCTCCATCTCTTCGCGACCAAGCGATAACCCGTGTGTCTGTTGAAGAGTGACCTCCATTTTGCGCAGCAACCGCTGCACCTGAGCTCGCCGATCTATGGGGGCAGGAATCATCGCTGATGGTGTGCCCTGTGCTCGCTGCCCTTGCGGCCCGAGTCGTGTCCTCGGTCTCACTCGTCGCCCTCCTCCATCATCTCCATCAGCCGCCCGTGATCTGGGTATGTAATCGGAGTCCCCTGCATCATCAGTGCCTGTGGTCTCTCCCGGGGCGACATCCGTGCTGTCGTCGTGGACGATAAGTACACTGCCGCGTCTCTTCTGACCTGCCACTGCATCCTCTGTGCCCTCCCTGTCGACGATATCCGTCGTCATTGCATCCCTCCCTCCAACATCTAATGCGTCGCCGTCAGGTGCAATCTCTCCGTCCTCGAGATGCACAACGCCCAATCCTCTCTCTCGGGAACGTATATGTGAGGATGAACGTGACGCCTTCCTTGCCGAGGCCTTCTTCCTTGCCCGAGAAAGACTCGCCTTCGCGGCTCTCGTAGCATGGACATCAGACGTCTTCGTCGGYAAAGCACTCCCGTGTCGGTCCTCAAACTCTGCTATGGCGGTGTGCCGAGCACCATCCACACTCCCAATGGATCGTGTCCCCATGGATGGTGCAGATGGCCTGCCAACATTCCGGACTCTTTGCTCATCCATCCCCCCAGTACTCTTCCCGCTGGCATAGAATGCTACTGTCGGCAAAACAGTAGCTCTGTCGCGCCGTGCTGTCGGCGATGACCCAACCACAGGCTGTTCTGTCGCGTCCAAAGTGTTTGCGATGGGGACGCCCGCATCTGCGCCGACAGTCGCGGCAATCGGATGATGCTCTGAGTTTGACGGCGGACTTGGGGGTCTTGCTTCTCTTTCGACTGCGTCAACTGGCCCACCAGGAGACCCTTCCTCTGCGCCGTCAAACGAATGAGAAAGACTGCGTTGTGCGATGCTGCGCTGACCGTCGTGGCGGTGTCGCGTCGCCGTCTCCGCCAAACCAAGGGCCACCTCGCGTGGTTTGCCAACACGAAAAATCGTGGGCGTGGCAGTCGTAATCATATCGGCGACATTGCCTCCTGCCACGTCAAACCCGTCCAATCCACGCTCCATGACGACAGGCTGTTGTGGCTTGGGCGGTGACACATGGGGTAGACCTGGGGATATCAACGTCGACAAGTCCGGTAGAGAAACAAGCGCAGAGTCCATGGCCAGTAACTCGCCGACCAGTAACTCGCCGGTACCCGGAAGACCGCCGGTTGGGCATGCGAGGCCGACATGGTCTGCGGCGCTCTGCTCGGCTGCGGGAGTGTGTGAGATCTCATGTTCCGGGAGATCGTCGCCTAGACACACATCAACGGTCCCCTGACTCCCCTCCATCAATGCAGGCGGTGGCCGCGGTTGAACACTGCGAGGTGGGAGCATACTTTCTTGCTTTGCCGCTGCCAGTGGCAGTCCCACATCCGAGGTCGCTGCAACTGAGACTGCCGCTCCGGCAGACGTGAGTGGATGCAGTGCACCGACAGAACCCTCGTCCTGCACTGCCGGGAGAGGACCGATCTCTCCCTGAACCTCGGGATGACGCATCAACTGTGCTGGACCCTGTTGCGATTCTGGGACTGCTGCGGAAGRCCCCATCGGAGCTGTCGCGTGCATACTCAAAGTGTCACCTCGTGGATGACCACTCCCGCCATGCAGCTCGATCCGCTCCTCGCCGCCGTGATCGCTAAAAGAGTCCTCAAAAACTGGAATGTGCTCAGTTGCGGGGACTCGTGGTAGTGGAACGCTAGCAACCCCACCATGACGTTTGCGCACACGTGAAGCGATAGTGTCTTTTTCCCTTGGTGCGCGTTTCAAGCGCCTCAGGTCACCGCCCGGGACAGGTCGTGAACCATCATCCACTCCATCTCGAGCATCATCATCCACTCCATCCCGAGCGTCATCTACTGCTGTGCGGCGCTCGCCCCCTGCCCCGTCGTCGCGCATCGTGTCACCATGTGCAGGTCGTGGCCTGTCTCCTTCGTCGCCGTGATCATCGCCACTGGCGCCATCGTCGTCGTCCACGCCAAACCCACGGTCGTCGAAATCGCTGTCGCCATCCTGTGCAGGCCTGCCAGTCCCGAAGAAATCCTCGTCATCGCTGGACGAGCTCTCGTACAAAAAGTCTCCCTCATCCCATCGGTGTCGAGGCTTGCGTACTAGCTCGTCCGCTGCTCTTCCACGACTCGCAACACTATGCCTCCCGCCAGGACCTCCACGCCCGCCTCGCCCACGACCGCCCCGACGACCACCTCCGCGACCGCCGCCACGACACCTCTTCCTGTCAGACTCCCGCAAGCAACGAGTGACTCCCATGCGGGACACAGCGCGCATCCTCTCTCTCGCCTGCGTCAACTCCTCCTTCGTGACCGTCACACGAGCTCCTCGGTCTGCCACAAGCTGCTGGTCGGTGGGCACCTCCTCCTCCACCTGCTGCCAGTAGTGCACCCAGCTCCCATACGGATGTGGCCTGTCATTGGGAGCATCGTCCAACATAGCCTGCCTGTCGAGGAGCCGAAGGTTCCAATGGCATCGCACCAGCTTCTCGGCCCTCGCCACCTCCAATCTGTTACGAGATTTGGAGTGGATGAAACTCCAACGGGACCAAGCTCTCTCGCAAGGCGATGCAGTCGCCCACACACGCAGTATCCTGCCAGCGAAGAAGGCCGTGTGCGGGAACCTCTTCTCCTTCGACTCCCAGAAACAGGCTGGATGGGTATAGCTCCTCGCCGCCCGGTCCATGGCCACGTCGTCGAACGGCGGCTCCCTGAAATGGAACTTGTCAATGGCAGTGAGGACCTCGTTGTGCTAATCCGAATGTTCCGGGTACCCAAACTGAATCAGAGCGAGTTTCAAACCGTGCTGCATCTCCTCGTCGTCTGGCATCGTGCGGTCTCGAAACTCGGGGTCCAATATCATGGCAGCAACATGAGCAGGCGACTTGAACATGTTGCGGCGTCTGTCAAACACTTCAAGCAGTGCATCCTGCTCGTCCTTCTCCAAAGCGGCACATGCAGACAAACAACGCACAATCATCTCGTCGTACCGACGCAAAATCTTGCCAATCTGCCTCGTGTCGCTGTCCTCCATCTGCAGCATGTCCATGATGGGATCCAACAACTTGTACAGCGCTCTCATACCCTCCCACCACTGAGGACAACCAACACATGTTGTGACCTCCGCAGCGTCGTCTTGAATTTTCTTCGTTGAGCAAACAGTGTCCTTCCACCGATCATCGACGACCACCTGCATAAGATGCGATTGCAGCAGAAGAACTCGTCGCATCATAATCACATGCGTACCGAAGCGAGTCTCGGCGGGAAGCAGCAGAGCCTTCCTCGTGAAAGCTTGAAAAACTTCACGAGCGTGGCTATGACGCTTGAAAAACTTTGTGACCAAACGCGCCTGAGCAATGCGGGTCGCCACCCACTCAATGTCGCCGATGTCCTCAAGGATGAGGTCCATGACGTGTGCCACACAAGGAATCCAGAAGATGTGCTTGACACTCTCATCCTTCTGGAACACCTCCATCGCAGAAACGTTCGAACTGGCAGAGTCTGTGACGAAAGCGATGATGTCAGCGAGCTTAATGTCAAGGGACTTCAACCTTCGCAGTCAAGCCTGCGCCAGAGCAGTGGCATCCTTCTTTCCTCGCATGACATGTGTCGCGATGTATGTGGCGCCTCGTATAGTGCCGATGAGAAAGTTGCACAACGTTTGGCCCCGAATGTTGGTCCAACCGTCTGTCACAACCGTAGGTAGCAGCAGTAGCGAGGACAGGTTTCACACTTTTGTACTTCCACATCAAGCTCATCTAAAAGTGTGGTACGGATCATGTGATACGTTGGGGGTTTTGGGGTGGGGACTCCTGGAACCCCAGGCGGGATGATCAACGTCAACATGCGTTTGAAGCTCTCAAGCTTCACGCAGTTGAACAACATGCCGCTCTCGACAATGAATCGCATGATCTGCAGGTGCCATCCGTGCTCCAGCGGGTCGTTGTAATACGAGGTCACCGCCTGCTGCCTGTAAGTGCCCCTCACTCGTGCACCGCCGCCCATACCTAGTGAATCCCACACCCCGCCCCCGGCCGCAGGTGATGATGCGGTGGGGCCTGGACTCAGAGTTGCAATGTTGCACAAATTCTTTAAAGGATCTTGTGTCCCAAAAACACCGTGCTGCGAGGTCAGGCTGTTCACTGGCACAGGAGTGGGTGACGAATCCGAAACCTGAACGGGCTCGTCGAGCTGGATGTTTCCCGCACCCTCGAGGGCCGTTGCAGCGGCCTCGCCAGCTGGTGCCGAAGTCGAGTCTGGTGTAGGTCGTCGTGTTTGCGAAGGAGGGGGAGACAACCATGGATACGCAGCGGATTGATGTCCTGTTGCGGGTGCTCCTGCCACGGCCGGACGTGTGCTTGCGCGTCGAACTCTTGGGACCTTGTCCCTGTTACGAGTGAACAACGGGGCGAGGCCGGATGATGTGCCAGCGCCCTTCCCCCACCCATCGCCCTCGACGAAAGCACGAGTGCCTTGCTCGTCGAACGGTACTGGTTCCCCGACACCCGAAACTGGCACGGTGCCTTGCGCTGCCACATATGGCCTGCCATCAACGACTGCGGAATCGTTTGACGAAGCGGCGCAGGTGAGACTGCCGCCGGACGAGGGGGGAGGGTAGCAAGTGGTGCACATGGAAATGGCTCCACTTGCGGGGGGGCGGCGGTCGATGGGGGCGGCGGAACGGTGTCCTCGGGAAAACGAAGAGGTGACCATTGAAAAGAGGGATGACCTGGATGGAGACTCTGCAAGGCTTGCACGGCAGAAGCCAAATGTGCAGGACACTTGGACATATCCTTTGACCAAATCGCGTGCTACACCGTCGGAGTCGCCACGGGGCATCTATACCCCTCGCCACGAAAAAAATGTTCCTTCGCATCACGAGCACCCCCACATAGAGAGCGACTGCATAACCTGCACAAACAACGGCGATCGTTCTTCCTCCCGACCGCAGTGGATCCATCTAAATAACGACCACGAACAACGAAATGCCAAACAGGATCATCTCGTTTTCCATCCGCCTTTGGATCCACCTTGAAAGGGGAGTCAAAGGTCTTTGTGTTGTGACCTTTTCTACTACCTTCCGTCCTTTTCCCCGTTGCCGAGGAGGACTCCGCGGGGCCCTTCCCGTTATTGCCTCGTGGGTCAGACATGTTGTAGAGACCGAATGAAATCCGCAGAAGGGGTAAACTGAAACGAACTCCAACGCCGACGACAAAGAACTGCACCGAAGTTACTAAAGAACCGACGAATCAACCTGTGAAAGATGGACAGTGTCAGGAACGTACACATGTTTCACAACAACCACAGCGACAAACAAGAGAAGGAACAAACATAAAGACCCCTAGAGAGAAGAAAAAAAAACACCCCTAGAAAGAAAAAAAATAATAAACAAATCAACACATTCCACGACAAAAAAACATACACATTCCACGACAAAAAAACACACACACATTCCATGGCATCTTTGCCGCACCCCCTAACGTCCTGGACCCCCAATGCATAGCCGGTCATGGCAGTCCACCCCTAGAAAACGACAAGGAGCAAACATAAAGGTAGAAATAAAGATAGAAAGAAAAAACAAAAAAAACACACACACACATTCACGGTATCCCGTCTTTGCCGCTCATGACGGTCCACCCGAAGAACAAGAGAAGGAACAAACACAAAGGTAGAAATAAACATAGAAAGAAGAAAAACACACACACACATATTCCACAATAAAAAAAAACACACACATTCCATGACATCCCGTCTTTGCCGCACCCCCTAGAGTCCTAGACCCCCCATGCATAGCCGCTCATGGCGGTCCACCCCTAGAACAAGACAAGGAGCAAACATAAAGGTAGAAATAAAGATAGAAAAAAAAAAAAAAAAAAAAAACACACACACATTCACGGCATTATGTCTTTGCCGCTCATGGTGGTCCACCCCAAGAACAAGAGAAGGAACAAACACAAAGGTAGAAA